CAGCAGGAACATTCAACAGTTAAGTTTCCTTTTTGCTGCTTTTGTTTACCAAAAATATAATTACTACTGCATTTCCTAGGAGTTTAATTATAGCAAGTACTTGCAAGCTGATTTTTTCCAACCCTAGGAGGTTCTGGTCAGATATGGAAAGTTGAAGAGTGGCTGGAGAGATGTAAAAGAAATCCTTCTGATGAGAGGCAGCTGTACTCTGATTTATCAGTTTCCAAAGTCAAGGCTTTACCCTATCTTTCTGGGTCCACTGAAGAGTGATTTCCCTGCGCTCATTGAAGAAGCTGATATATCAGGCCCATTCTGCATGTTCTCTTCTGCTTGACCTTTAGACATTCCTCCTTCATCCTTACTGGGAACTGTATCTTCAGTTGGAAAAAATATATAATTATTGTAGAGAAATTTAGATAGTGTATACTAAATACACAGCCAACATAAACTGAGCTTGTGTTTTAACTACTTAAAAAGTTGTTAAGATTAACCCAAAACCCATTTTTTCCACAGCTCAGTTTCTTTCTCAAATAAAGAAACCACTAAAAAACCTCAATTTTAACAACACCAAAATATTTGTTTTTCAAATTTTCTATTGAATTATGTCTCAAATTTGTTGCCGATCATTTGAAGATGAACCTGTAAAACACAATTCAATTTTTCAGCTTTAAAATTACTTTATTACATGAGAGAGAATTTCTGCAATGATTTTTTTTTAGCTAGGAAGACGATGTGGGGGAAAAGGCTTAACATATTATTTCCCTTTTTCTTCTAATTATACATCTACAAAATATACGGCAACAAACAATTATGCACCTTGAGATGTTGCATAATTTAAACACAAAAAACCAGGAACCTTAGATGCATGTCGGTTGATGATTTTATGTACCAGGAAGGTCAGCAGTTTGTCAAGTAAAATATTATAGTGAATATTTTTACAGTGGCAGTGACTGCCCCTTTTCCTATATATACTTCGTTACTGCAACCTAGCCACTGAATATGATAAAAACTGTGAACACTGAGTGTACTGAGATGACAGCCGGGAAGAAGGGGTTAAGCACGCATGCAGTTCTGAAGAATGAAACAGGTCTGTTTGGGATGCATCAGCCAAGCAGACAATTTTGTTCATGTGTAAGAGTGTACATGAAATAGGTTGTATATGGATAGGTCAAAGAAAGTTGAGATGCAGCCTCAGGATGAATAGGTTCCAGTAAGCTGGGATACAGCTTGTGATCTAGAAAACACAGCCTAGAATTTAGTAGGTTGGGTTTTTTGGTTTGTTTGTTTGACTCTTT